CCCCTTTTGTTTTTTTTTTTTTTTTTTTTTTTTTTGTCTTTTTCCGTGTCCGGCAACGGATCGCAACCCTCAGTGTCACCCCTGTACCGGGCTGGGACCGGCAACGGGATTGCAACCCTCGGTGTTGCTCCCGCGCCTCGCTCAGCCAGTGAGCAGGAACCGGTCTGTATGTGGGATCCGAACCCTCGGGCGGGAGCGCCGCCACGCTTCTCAAGCGGCGCACTATAGCAGTGCGCCACCGGGCCGGCCCATGGAAGGGAGAATAGAATTTGAGTATTTTTCAATCTTTCCTACTCATCTTCATCCTACTACTTGCTTGAATTGGGGGAGGGGTGGCAGGTGTTGGAGAACTTGAAAGAAACAGCTCTGTGCTGGTTCACGTGGGAGCCTTTCAATGTGATTGTAATTGTCTGCCTTAAATGAAAACAATTCTGTATGTCTAGTACAGATTGGGCCTGTTTTCAGTGCTGCTAGTTAATTTGCAGTTTTTACATCTTGTTGAGCATCTCATTAGCCTCTGAGGAATTAATATTGTGTAAACCTGAACATACTTTGCCATTTTTACCTGCAGTTGTCCAGTTTATTAATTTTTTGTTTTGATTGGAATAGTTGTAAATTCAGCAGTAAGAGATGCTATAAATCTATACTAGTAAGTTCCAGACTTCTTGGATTGGAATAATGTATTTATTTACCAAGTATTACTGAATGCAACTGTATGGGTCCTCACCCAGAATCTTAATGTCCTTGTATGGAAAATAAAATTTATACATAAGAAACAAGTTAAAACAAGTCTAATACCATGTATGTTCAAGTACATGATTTCTTTTAAAAATACTGAGTAGCATTACACTTTTTAAAAGATAGGATGAATATAATTTACTTTATTGGAGGCTTTTTCAGCTAAGATCTTACAATTTAAATGTTTTAGAGCATACCAAAATCAGGATTGGGGATTATTTAAATAACTGAATGGATTGTTCAGCTTTTGTTAGGATAGATCATTGTAATTGCTGCTTTAATATTTAAGTGCCTAAAGGGAAAAACAGTATTTATGAAATATTAATCTTTTGTAACCTAACATAGTGGCATATGCAGATGTCATTTAATTCTTTTTGATGCAGATATTAGATTGGAACCCCTAAGACTTGGAAGTTTACAGGAATTTCAGAAACATATTCAAAAAATCAGTTTAGCTATTAGATTTATTTTATGAATGCTACTTTTTTGTAGAGAAGTAAATTTGAAGACCAAACTGCTCATCTACTGAAAAATAATAATAAAAACAAGGCTTTAACAAAAAATAAAATCTTAGTCTGTGTTTTCATGAACTAATTAAATCTTTTAATTAATATAAATGTTGTTATGGAAATCAAGTAAACTTTAAACTTTTTCTGCACCAAAGAATAATTGCTGATTTCACATTGAACTACAGGTTTCCCTGGGCCTGCTGAAGTTCTATGCTGAAAATTGTGCTTAAGTGAATTTTCTGGTAGAGGAACTTTGTTGCTACTCTCTTGTCAAGATGGATACAACACCTTTGAAACATCTAAGAATTCACTTGTCTTCAGAGACATCTTCTCAAAGGAGAAGAAATATGCCCATGGATGCAATCTTTCTTGACAGCATTCCTTCAGGCACACTTACTCCTGTAAAAGATTTGGTGAAATATAAGAACTCCTTTTTAAAATTGAATGACCATAATCAGTTCCTAGAAATGACAACTTTGAACAGTAAACATATATTTCAATCTACTGTGTTTGCAGAGGCTACCGTTTCTAACAGTTTTCTTGATATCAGTGCTATAAAGCCCAACAAGGATGGATTAAAAAATAAAGCAAACTGTGAATCACGAGGAAAAATATTTCAAGGAATGAAAGAAAAAGTGCTGCGTGAGGAGCAAAAGCTGGCAGCCAGAAACAGTAGTTTGTTGGAACCACCACCAAGTGGAAGTAAAATCTTCACTCCTAATAGAGCTGAGAAGAGAATACAGCATACCTACCTTTGTGAAGAAAAGGAAAACAAGTCATTCCAATCAGATAACAGTTCATTAAGAGGTTAGTTTTATGTGTTGGCTAAAAAGCTATAATGTCTTGAGTGTTTAATGTGTTGGATGCTGTTTTAGATGCTCTGGATGAAGCAGTGATGAAAATGGATAAAAATCTCTGCTCTCCTATAGCTCACATTCAGATAGTGCGGAGAAATAATTAATATATCTAAAATAATTTTTATGATACAGTAGAGAAAGAAAAGCAGATAGATAAAAAGAAAAAGCACAGTAAGATTGGGGAAAGTTGGAGGGGGTTGTAAATGTCAGTGGGTGGTTAGAGTAAGCTTCAATGAGAAGATGGCATTTTAGCCCTCAAAACTGAAGGAGATGGTAGGTACAGGTATCTTGGGGATGGGGCAAAGATGATCTAGGTAGGTAACAGCTGGTACCGATGTTGCAGGATAATTCCAGGTCCCGCTGGCTAGGTCCGGGTTCTTGGTGTCTCAGACAAAGAATTGGACGAGACACACTAGGAATCAAAGGTAAAGGCAGTTTTATCTAGCAAAGGAAGAGAGAAGAGTACACTCCGGAGAGGATGGAGTGGGCTCGAGCAAGAGAGAAAAGTGCTCAAGAGGCCTGACGGTTACATTCCTGAGGTTTTAAGTCCTTAGTTGGATTCGTGACATTTGGTCATTGGTTGAGCCCTGAATGCAGTTCCTGTTGTATTGTTTAAAGAGATTGGCGCCTTAGCTGGTGGGAACTCACTGGTGTAACCGAATGGCGCCCAAGGTGGGGCGGGGGTGGGGGAGGTTCCCTGCCTGGAATTGTCTTTGTCTTTGCTTCTGCGCATGTGCATGTCTGTTCAGGGAACCGATTTGTCGCTTTTGCAAATAACCAGTTTTTCCTTCTCCCACTCTTGTCTCTAGCTTCCTGCCTCACAAATGCTCCGAAATAGGAGCGTGCCTAAAAAATTCAAGGACTAGCTGTGAGGTTAATGTGTCATGGAGTGAGTTGATAGAGCTGAGGAGGAGGGAGTAAATAAGAGTGGGTCAGATAATGTAGGATCTTATAGGTAAATGTAAGAGTTTGGGCCTTTACTCTGAGCAAAATAAGGAGTCATTGAAGGGTGTTGAGCAGAGGGATGACAAAGTTTGAAAATAGCACCCTGGCTGTGGATTTGAGGTAGTCCAGGCTTGGTCCAGGTGGTAGTAATGAAGATAAACAGTGGTTGGATTCTGAATATATTTTAAAGGTAGAGCCAATAGGATTTGCTCATAGATTCGGTGTGTAATGTAAAAGAAAAAAAATATAAAGAACTCCAGGGTGTATTTTTGTTTTTGCTTTTTGGTTTTGGTCTGAGCAACTGGAAGTGGGGCAGACGGAAGGAGGAATGGTGGGGCTCATTCAGTTTTTTGTCATTTTAATTTTGACGTGTCTATTAAAAATCTAAGTGAAGATGTCACTTAAGGCTGTTGGAAAAAATCAATTGGAATTTAGGGAAGTGATCCAGGTGAAAGAAGTACATTTGGGAATTATTAGCATCTGAATGGTATTTAAAGCTATGAGGTTAGGCGAGCTCTTCAAGGAGTAAGTGTAGAAAGAGGCAGTGTTCAAGGGCTTATCCCTGGGGCAATTCAATTTAGAAGTTAAAGAGTAGAAAAGCCTCTCAGTAGAAAGCCACTAAGAAGATGATGAGGAAGAAGGAAAAACCAGGAGTGTGATAGTGTGGAAGCCAAGACAGCAAAGTGCTTTAAGGAGGAGGGAGTCATCAGCTGTGTCTAATGCTGCTTGCTAATCAGTTAAGTAAGCTGAGATTTGACATTGGATTTAGCAATGTGGAGGTCACTGGTGGCTTTGAGGGCAGTTTTGGTGGATAGGATCAAAGACATGATTTGAGAGGGTTCAAGAGAATGTGATGAAATAAATTGGCAATGGTGGTCATAGACAGTTCTTTTGAGAGGATCAAAGAAATAATGGAAAGTGTGGTTAAAGGCTTTATTGTTGTTTTTAATAACTGGGAAAATAACTATTTTTGTATGCTGTTGAGAATAATCCAGTAGGATAGAAAAAACTGGTTGCTAGTGTGCTGCCCTTGAGTAGTTGAGAGGGAATAGAATCTAATGCTTAAGTAGAGGGTTGGCCTTAACTAGGAACACAGATCAGTCATTAACAAGAAAGAAGGTGGTGTATATAGATACAGATGCTGGTAGGTTGTTATTGTATGAATTCACAAGTAATCTAAAATAAGTAAGTTCATCAGCTGAGAGTGATTATGGGAAGCAAGTGTTGAAGTTTGAGGAGGTGGAGTTTTGAATAGCATAGGACAGGGGAATAGTAAATAGACTAGGCCCAAATTTGGGTAACATTAAAGAGCTACATGAGATTTGTGGGCATGAATTTAAAGTGAGACCAGCAAATATGGTTAAGTTTTCCTCTAGCCTTGTTTAGCAGCATAGTTGCTGGTGGGAAATAGACAGGGAGTTGGATTTTATCTAGGTTGTAATTTTGCCAAATAGAATGAAGTGACAGAAAGACAAAGGAGTTGAGGGTATGTGCAAGTGGGTGACCATGAAATTTAAGTTGGCTATTGAAGGAAAAGAGGATCTGAAGGAGATGAGGGAATATAAAGTGTAGGCCTTTTTGAGACAGTGGGTTTGACAGAATGAGCTGAAAAGAGAAAGTGGTCAAAAATTGGGAAACTTGAAATGGAGATTTTGATGAGTTTCAGTAATTGATAATGAAAGATATTTTACATGTGTTATCTCATTTAATCCTTTCAGCAAATGCAATGGGTAGATGCTCGTTTAATGGCACATAAATTGAGCTTATAAAGAAAATAAGTCTGCTGTATTTCTCAGAGGTAATAAATAAGTGACAGGCTGAGAATTGAATACAGATACTAGAAGAAAGTGACCCAAGATGCGGGGTAGCATTCAAGCTTATTAAAGAAAGAAATCTGCCGGACTGTACTCAAAATGGAGGACAGCCTGGGGTGCCCTGAAAATGGGGGACAGCAGCTAATATAGGGTGGTAGGAGCTTATATTGGTATGTTGGCACCAAGAGCTGGGTGATGTAATTATGGGGTGGGGATTGAGTTAGGTCATGGGAATGGAGAGTTCTGCTTGTGTGGAAACACCGAAAGTTTCATTTTCTCTGAAACGATGAGGCTTCTTGTAAAAGAGAATGGGGGGAGCGGAGGGGAGGAGGTGGACAGCACCATTTTGTACTTGGGCTTGTCTAAAATGGCACTGGTTATGTTGCAGATCTATTAGATACCTATTAGAAAGCCGGTACTCTTAACTACTGCACGGTAGATTGTGGGCATATTTTGCATTTCAAAGACAGTGACATATTCTGACAAAGAAAGCAGAGTTTTCTAAGGGAGTTTGGGGCGGAAGTGGGGGAGTGCATAAAATAATCTATTTCTCATACAGCCTGCGAGAAAAGGGAGAAGCAAATGAAATAATGCACTTTGAAGCACGTTTATATGTAAGGTAGAATTTGAGAGAGTAGGAACTACTGACTGCTTTAGGAATCTGATGATTCTTTCCCCAGAAAATGCACACAAAAATATAAATACAAATTTTATATGTAATTTTAGAGACCGTTTGGAGAGTCTGCATGGACCTTGGACTCCCAAATAAGGGACCCAGTTTCTACAGCATGTTATATTTGATTGAATTACCTGCTTGTCCTTACTGCATTGCCCTGCCATTTCCAGTAGAATAAGTTAAAGAAATAGAAGGTTATCACTTATTTTTATGACACATCATTACAATGAAATCTTTATATTAAGATTTCTAAGGCCAAGTGGCATACTTATTAAAGCATAATTATTGCCTTTTTTTAAGTATAATATTTGAAATTAAACAATTGTCTTTCCTTCTCTTGCACAAATTTTAAGTATTATCTTCTCCTTTTTGTGTGAAAGAAACTCATTTCTATATTCAAGAAATGTTAAACTTTAAAGATCTAGGATGTAAAGCAGAATAAAATATAAGCTGTACTATCAGTCTTATCTGTCTAGTTGATACATCTACTACTTTTGTGCCTTGAAGGCCTACTAAAGAGATATCAAAGGGATATACATTATGGTTGAGTCTGCTGTTGTGTCTCAACATTTTCATTTTTAAAGAATAAGTTACAACTTTTAACTGTTCTTTCATGTTTTAGAAATTTATAGCAACCAGAAGCAGAATAAGAATTTTCAAGACTGTGATGTAATCTTAAACATATACATATCCAATTTGTGGCAGCACCAGAATTTTATTCCAAATCCCCAGGCTTCTCAGTCTAGTAGTATACTTTTGTCTAGAGCTGGCAAGTTGTATCTTGGAAAAGATTTTTTCAAAATTCTTCCTCAGCATGATGTAGGTATAGAGAATGGGGTGAAGGCATGAGAAGATAATGAGGGAAAAAGTTTATGTAACTGTCATATATTGCAAAAGTATACTATACTGGTCTGATCATTACTGAACCACAGGGTCTTTATTTCAAGAATTTAAAAAGACATTTTTTTTCTTCTCAGTGACTAATGCAATTCAACTTCTTTCTTTAAAACAAAATCTCAACCTCAGTGCAAGAAGTTCCTGTAGAATCATCAGATAATATTTTCCTTCCAGTCAAACAAAAGATTCAACACCAGCAAGAAAAGAAAGCACCACTACACAATTTAACTTACGGTAAACTTTTTTGTTTTGTTTTTTAGTTTGTTACTTGAGTATGTTTTTAGATGTGCTAGGGAATTATTTTCCCTTGGTGAGCAATAAGCATTGACTGTTGTCAGAAGCTTAAATTGTAAAAACCAGAGGCCCTCCGAGAAAGACTGGGCAGGAGGGTAGAGCATTCTTAACCTGAGGACTTCTTTTTAATATAAACGGTCTTTTGTTTTTTGGGTGGTTTTTTGGTGGCTGGCCGGTATAGGGATTCGAACCCTTGATCTTGGTATTATAACATAACACTCTAACCAACTGAACTAATCGACTGGCCTGTTTTAAATTGACTTTTATTTCTCTTTTAAGTTCTTATGATCCTTCTATAAATTTTGCTTTATATTTTTTTGTAGAACTTCCTATCCTGAACCAAGAACAAGAAAACTTTTCGGCTGCAGGAGTCTCAAACAAGGCGTTAACTAGAGCACAGTTGGCTAAAGAAGTTCTTCACTCCAAGGAGTATATAGTTGAAACCACTAAGTCCAAAAAGGACACGTTCATTTTAGAAGGCATTGATTCTTCTTATGAAAAATCTCAAAATACTAATGTTGAGGGTCTCAGTATTAATTGTGTTCCTATTAAAAGTGACACTCAATTAGTATTTGCTGGTAGTGAGATGACAACAGAAGGGACTTCACAACAGGAAGTTAAGGAAGGAGATGAAAAAACTTTGCCCAGAGAGACTGTCCTTCCAGGTTCCATGAAAGATACATGTAAAATTATACTTGCAACTCCACGACTTCATTTAACAATACCTCGGAGGTCAAAAAGAAATGTTTCAAAGATTTCTCCTCCTAGTGTATTTCAAAGTATTACAAATGAAGTTAGAAAAAATAAGGTAGGAAAACTTTTGAGGCAGATATTTATTTCTCCTTTTTACCCCCATTGTTTAAGAACTTGAGCTCCTATGCGCTCCTCATTATTAAAAGTAGTTTATCCCTTTACTGGCCAGCTGGGGGAAAAAAAGTTTCATTTTTATGTTTTATTATTATTTACTATAGCAACAGTGTAGCCTAGTGAAAAGGGAAGTGGGCTAAAAGTAAGAAGACCTGGGTGTTAAGTTTTACCTTGCTGTATTACTAGTTGTATAGCATTCAACGATTTACTTATTCCTTTTTGGGAAGAACATTGAATTCATTCTTGCTCTTGATCTTTTTTTTTTTTTGTATTCTTTGGATACTATTAACAGAGCAATTGAAATAGGAAAGAATTATAGCATCTGAAGTTTTGAGATTTTTCCCGATGTAATATAGGATGGTCAATAAAATACATTAGAGCATCAAACTATGTTACATTAGGATAAATTATGATTTAGGAAGGAAGTAGAATGGAAATACAAGTTCAAGGAGAAAGACACTGTAAAATTTCCAACTATTAAAAGTTTGCCCATTAATTTTTTAATGGATGATGGTGGGTATCAAATTAAAATGATTTTTTTTTTTTTTTTTTTTAAAGATGACCGGTAAGGGGATCCTGACCCTTGGTGTTGTCAGCACCACGCTCACCAGAGAGCTAACTGGCCATCCCTATATGGGATCCGAACCCGTGGCCTTGGTGTTATCAACACCACACTCTCCCGAGTGAGCCATGGGCCTGCCCCAAAATGATATTTATAGTCTCTAAATTTTCAAGAATAATGTGACAGTTACAGTTTTATAACTTAATGTATTCAGTAGAAATTGCATTATTTGCTAATATTTTAACTTCTGATGGAAAGTTTTAGATGCTGACTTAAAAACGTGTGAGGTGAGTTGAGCAAAAAAGTTTGAAGACAACTGTTCTAAGAGACCGCACAATACTAATTCCATCATCTCTATAGTGCTCTTTATCTCAGTTACCACAAGAAGTCCAAGCCTCCCAGGATTCTCATGTCTATATAGTTCTGTATATTCCCTGATTCTGACCCTATTTCTCACTCATCCCTCTCATCATTCAAACAATTACATTGTGCCCTCTTGAACTTGAGGTATGTTATCAGCAAAATGTTATACTCTCAATCTTCTGTGGCTTTTCTTAACCTTGCTTTGACTAAAGTATGGCTTCTACAAATAACCCTTTCAAATGGTGGCTCTTTTTTCTCCCATATCCCACATTCCGTTGGACCTAGAGATATAAGGTATGTCTCTCTTGCTCTACCTCATTGCTACTTTAGGCTGTTTTTCCTTCTTTCTAAAGTTTCTTTGAAGCACATGCATAAGATTTTACCACTACCTGTCCCCTCTTCTTGTATTCACCTATAATACAACCTCCTTGTCATTACCTTGCATTCCTGTTGAAGTGTTTGACGCCTGTTAGGTTTTCCTCTACTACTATTTCTGTCATCGTCTCTGGTGGACATCAGTATTCATTACATGATCCATCCAGCCTCTTCGATTTCTTGATATTCATTGACCTTTCTTTCTCCTACCTTTTTCTACCCTAGCCATACCCATACCTTGTCCTTACCAGTACATGCACCAAATTCTCACTTTCAGGCATCCCACTCTCACTACTGACTCCTCTCCTTTCATCCAGATCATTTTCTGTCTAGTACTCTTCCCTCACCCCTCACCATCAGTACTCTAACCCCACTAAGATAGTCTTCAGTCCATCAACTCTCATGTCCTCATTTCCCACTTTATCCCACATAGATTCCATGGTCCATCATCATAATTGTTACAGGTTATAACACTCAACTGCCTTTTTTTTTTCTCTGTCCTCCACTGGCAAAATCCTATCTTGTTAAATTTAGCTCTTTTGCTGCATACCTGTACGTGCAAGCTAAAGATGGTTGGAGGAAGACACAACCATGCTGACTGGTCTCATTTTAAATTTGTCTACCAACCTTAAGTGGGCTGTCAGTGTTGCCCATTAGTCCTGGTACATTTCACTTGTCAGTCCTCTCTCTGGCTTTCCTAGAGGACTGTGCCATACTTTTTCTCTCCTTAAACTCCAAATCTTCCTCTTTATGCTCATTTCATTGAGAACCTCATGATCCCATCACCAAATCTACCAATCTACCTGCTGCTGTGTCCACATACTTTGCTTTCCCTCCTGTTAAAGTGAGTGAACAATTCATGCTCCCTTTCAGGGCCCATTCATTTCCTCTTACCACTTTAAAGGACATTGCCCTTGCAATTATCCCCTCAATTTTTTCCTCTCTTCCGGATCATTCCCAGTAGCATATAAACATGCTGAAGTATGGCCTCTATTTTTTTTTAAAAATGCAAACGGAAGCCCACCTTTCCATTATCCCCTTTCCCACTCCAGCCGCCACTCCATTTTTTTGTTTCCCAAGTTCAGTCATCTCCATATCACCAAATCCAGTGATTGATTCTTATTTCTCACTCCGTATTCTCAGTTGCTCATGAGCGTTTAACACAATGAATCAAAATGTCTTTTTCAAAACATAGTATTTATTTTACTTTTGGATTCCAGGATAACTCCTAATTTTCTTTTACATCACTGGCCCTCCTTTCTCAGTCCCCTTTGCTGCTTCCTCTTCCTGTCCCCAGAATCAGTCCCATAAATTGGAATTCCCTAATATCAGTCCCTAATAGAAGTGTTTCTGTAGCTACCCACACTCTCTGGACTATATTATCCAGTGCCATAGCTTTAAATTCCATCAATATGTTGATAGCTCCCAAATATGTATCTCCAACCCAGAACATTCTCCTAAATGCCAAACTCATGCAGTTATCTGTATGACTTCTCTATCGATATTTAATAGGCATCTCAAATTTAACACATTCAAAACTAAATTTTTGGTTTTTTCACCATAATCCTCCTTCTTCATTATCTTATATTAATACTAGTAATACCATTCCCCCAAGTACTTAGGCAAAAATTTTAGATTTGTCTTGGACTCTTGGTTTTTCTTTCATACTCCACATCCAAACTGTGAAGAAATCCTTTTGGCTCTGTCATGAATCTGGTCACTTCTCACTGCCCAACCAATGTGTTGTGGTCCAGGGATTACTGCATTAGCCTAATGGTCTCCCTTCTCCCACTGTTGCCTCCCTCCTCTTCAGTCTTTTTTCCAGACAAAAGCCAGAATCTTCATGTAATCTAATCTTTACCCAGCAGCCCCTTATAATATTGTCATGACACTCCCCTCTTCAAAATCCTCCAGTAACTTCCTATTTTGGGAGAAAACACTAAGCTTTTACCCTGATTTACAGGGCTCTTTGTAATTCTGGAGATCTCCAACTTCACCTCTTATTTCCTCTTGCTTGCTCCTTTCAGGCTACTGTGCTTTTCATACTACCTGTTTAGGGCCTTTGTACTTGTTCTCTCTGCTTGGAAGAATCTTCTTGCAGATATCCACGTGGCTCATTCCTCAGTTTATTCAATTGTCTGTTCAAAGATCTTCCCTGACTTTTCTATCTGAAAAAACAAAAAAAAAAAAACCCCTAGTTTTCTAATACCTTATACTTTTTTTTTATAGTAATTATCATCACCTAACATTTTAATATTTATTTGTCTGTATACCACCATCCAGCTTGCCTCCACAACCCACCCCTCAATACACACACACACAAGAAAATTTGCTCTAAGAGGACAACAGTTTTGTTTCTCAGTGAAACCCACTGCCTAAAACAGTAGAATGCAACAAATATTTGTTGAATGAATAATGAATGAATATTTTGGTAATGTATATAAGCAGTGTGGTATAGGATTCTAGAGCCAGAATTCCTAGATTTGTAACCCATCCGTGTTACTAACTAGCTGTGTGTGACTTGGGCAAGTTATTTAGCTAGGCTTTATAGGTTTTTTGTTTGGTTTTTTTTGGCAGATTGGCTGGTATGGGAATCCTACCCCCATGACCTTGCACACAACACTGTGCTCTAACCAACTGAACTAACCAGCCAGCCCAACTTTACTGTTTTTTTAATCTGTAAAGTAAAGATGATAATACCTGCTTCCTAGTGTTAAGAGAGTAACATAAGTCAGTACATCTAAGATTCTTGGAAAACTGCTAACACTAGTGTTAGCTTTCATTTTAATATTATCTCCATCTGACTCATGTTTTGCTATATCTCAAGTAGTTCCAAATGTGGGATTAGGAAAAAATGGAGTGTTACTGTCCCCTTTCCAAGTCCTACCTGTAATTTTTTAGGTGAACATAATTGAGAAGTGCAGTAACAAAGACCACCCTCTCATTTTGGCATCTTTTCCTGACTTGGTATAAAACTACCACTCAAGAATTTGTCTTTATGTATAGTTTTAAATACAAAGTAAATAGCAACTCAAATTAGTAATTCTATGAATTTTGGTTTTATTGCTCATCAGAAATAGTTCAATGTTAAATTGTTATGAAATATAAACAATTTCTTTGCATAGATATTCGTAGAAATTTTTCCATTAATGGGATTTTACTTGTACTAAAATAAAGAATTCTGTGAGCTATTCAGATGTTTGGTTTGTTATAGAATGCTGTTAAATGTAGATTATCAGCATAGACCATTGAAATGCAACTCTAAATCAGCTTTACAAAAAAAAAAAAAGCTCTAATTTTTAGGGGCAAAAATGATGGTACACAACACAGCTGACTTTTTTTTCCTCCAACTTATTGGGTCTTTGCAGGACGTGATGTTTTAATGTATACCTTGGGATTTTATGTGATTTTCTTTTCCCCCCAGTTCTTGAGATATTTGATATAAGAATATTTGAAGTATAATTCCTGCTAGATTGTAGAACAAACTATGCAGTACAACCTCAGTTCAGTCTCTCACTTCATCTTTTCTGTTTCATTATATACAAGAGTTTTACCTGTTGCTACTGAAAATAGAATGTGATTCTCATAGAGATGGCATTGAGGAATCCTTTGGATTAATTAGATGAGTTTTTTTCTTTTCTTTTCTTTTTTTTATTTTTATTTATTTATTTTTTTAAAAGATGACCGGTAAGGGGATCTTAACCCTTGATTTGGTGTTGTCAGCACCACGCTCAGCCAGTGAGCGAACCTTATTTTTATTTATTTATTTTTTTAAAAGATGACCGGTAAGGGGATCTTAACCCTTGATTTGGTGTTGTCAGCACCACGCTCAGCCAGTGAGCGAACCTTATTTTTATTTATTTATTTTTTTAAAAGATGACCGGTAAGGGGATCTTAACCCTTGATTTGGTGTTGTCAGCACCACGCTCAGCCAGTGAGCGAACCGGCCATCCCTATGTGGGATCCGAACCCGGGGCCTTGGTGTTATCAGCACCGCACTCTCCCGAGTGAGCCACGGGCCGGCCCGAGTTTTTTTCTTTTAATGTAATCTAATTTTGTAATGCTTATGCTATAAGTAACACAAACAATATGTTCTTTGTTTTATGCTTGATTAGGTAATCCAGCTACAGGAATGGATGATTAAAATCATCAATGATAATACTGCTATATGTGTAGAAGGAAAACTGATGTAAGTATAACATTTCAATATTCTTTCAGTAAAACTTAAGAAAGTGATTTGTGTGTAAGAACTTAAAAAGTGATGCATGACAAATGGCATCTTCCTACAAAACAGTTTCTAAAAAGATTATGAACTGAAGGCAAAATATAAAATGACTACACAGGTCCTAGCTATGTTGATGTTTCTAGCTTTTTTCCTTGTTTAAAAATAAGTTGTTTTTTAAATAACCATAGCTCAAATTTGTACAGTACTTTTTTTTTTTTTCTGAGGTGCTACTCAGTGGACTGGTATTATCTGCTTAATTACTTATGATCAGTTAATATTTACTACATGCATTTCAGTCCAGATTCTCACATCTAAATTGGGACAACCAGATATAAATTACTGATCTAGGAAAGGAAACAAAATTATTTAAAACTTTGCCATACAGCTACATATTAAGTAATCACTGGCAATTTCTGGTTCTCCCTAAAGTGAAAGCATCATTAAGTAAGTGGGCTTGCCTAATTCTGCTATGCTATTAGCACCATTTTCTAGTCTTCAAAACCAGTTTCTTAGTGGTATAAAAAAATTGTAATAAAACAGTATAAGGTATGTGTCACTGTTTTAAGGTATTTATATGGAATTTTTTAAGTTGAGTATCTAAAATGTGTTGTTCACTTTATATCTGCCTGCCTTGTGCCCATTTCCTTTATATCCAAGATGCAGTGTAGATTGCCTTTCTAGGAATCCCATTGTTGCCACTTAACTCCCTGTGTTACTCTGGCAGGTTACTTATCCTCCTTCAGTCTCAGTTTCTTCATCTGTACAATGAGGATAATAATATTACCTACCTTTTGAGTTGTTTTAAGGATTATGTAAGTTAATATTTGTAACACTAGAGAGTAGTGCTTTTTGACTGTTATTTAAATATTTGTTAAATAAAGCAAAAAAGAATGGAAGAAAAGTAATATTGTACTAAGGTGTAATATATGAGTTTAATCCTATTTAACTAAATTAAAGGAACTTCTTTACTGTTCTTGCAGTTTATTTATTCTTATCAGTTATCTAATGAATGGGGGAATGTTTGTCATTTATCTAATACGTCTTCATACTTTGTTCTTTCTATTTTATATTTTATTCTTAGCTTCATTTAAAGAAATATGAAGAGTAGATTTATAGGTCAATGATTTGATACTATAATTTGTTTTTTCGCAACTAGAATCTCTTTTTGGTACTTTCCAAAATGAAAGGTAAAAACATTTGGCTGTAAAGTGAGGGTAAAGAGACACAAGATTAAATAGATCCAATCTGTATTTCTGCACCAAAGCTAACACAGTATAGACCCTGAAGAAGAGGGACAGGGAGATTGTTCTTTGGATTCTTAGCATCAGTTAAGTGTAGTTGCAAGTACTGCCTTCTCCACATATTTAGAGAAGTCTTCTGCTTCCTTGCTAATGATGTATTTCATAGTAGAGGCATGGTTTGGCCATGGTACAGTTTCTAGACACATACTCTAAGGATCACATTAACCAAGCAGTTGAGTTCTGCTGCATTGTTTGGCCTTCAGATGTTTTGTAATTAGGTTAATAATATTGTTAGTGTTGCTGTAGTTATGGTACAAAACTACTATATTTTATTATAAATTTGTATACTTACATATGTACATTGTGACTTCTGGTAAAATGTGAATATTTTGGCCTTAATTAAGCTGTTTTTTCTCCTAGAGACATCACTAACATATATTGGCACAGTAATGTAATTATAGAGCGGATTAAGCACAACCAACTTAGGACTTTATCAGGCAACATTTATATATTAAAAGGAATGATAGACCAGATTTCCATGAAAGAAGAAGGTAAGTAACTATCATCATTGATAATTTTTTTTTTATCCTCCCCCTCCCCACACCTGGCCAGCACACAGAATATGATAAATTTTTTAATAAGTTAACCAATTTACCATGTTTCTAACAGTAATATACTTTTTTTGCTTTTAACTATTTTAAAATTATGAATAAATCAAAACTAAAAATTAGCACAGAACTGATCACATTATGTAAAACTTGTATAAGCATTTTTTTTCTCTAATCATTCTTATTGACAATTTAGATAAGTCCTGTGATTAAAAAAAAATTAAGTGAAATACTCCTTATTTATAAGAAATTAATTTATAAGAATATAATTTAACTCCCTGGTTTCTCTCTTTGTTGCACCTACCTGGCACAATCCCAGTCCTGGTATGATCTAATTTTCTACCTGTGCTTTGCACACAACTGAATATAGCTGGAGAAAAACACACTCAAGTAGTCTACTTTAAATTTATGATTACCAGCGACATGTTATAGTCATTAGTGTTCCCCTGGTGCTGCTTGGCATCCTACCGTATTTCCCTAATCCATTCACTCTCCCCTCCTCCCTGAGACTATTTCGTATTTTTGGAACTCTCCAATACCTCCTCCCCACCCTTTCTTAGGCGGGAGGGTGGTGGAGAGAGATGAGTACCTGAGCAATAAGAGCAGTCAGATAAGAATTTCTCCACCACATCTACTCAGCTGCTTGCATCCATACTTGCTTTTCTTACGGACTAACTAACCTCTCCATTTGCACACTAGCTCCTATTTTCTCTCTTTTATTCAAGGAAATCACTGCAGTAATTCTCCCTTCTCCTGTTTCCAAAAAAACCATCTTTTAACCACACTTCTTTTAGCCACTATTGCTCTAACTTACAACAAACCAACTCAGAAGATTTGTCTATACTTGCTATAATTTCTCTCGAATTCTCTTACATTTTTTCTTAAACACTCTTTAATAATGCCTTAACCCCCAGTTCTTCACCAAAACAGTCCATGAAAGTCACCAATGGCCTCCTAAATCCAGATTATTTTTATTTAGCTTTGGGAATACCATATTCCAATTTTTGTTCTGCCTCACTGCTGTTTCTTCTTAGTTTCTTTGCATATTTCTCTCCTTTGTCTCGAATTAAGGCAGTATAGCTTGGGGCGCTTTCTACACTCAGTGCTGTGCTGATTCCTTTTAGGCTTTAAATATCATCTGTATGGTGCCATATACCAAATTACATCTCAACCAAGACTTCTCCCTCAAAGTACCTAACTTATTTTCCATCTGTCAATTTGACATCTCCACTAGGATGTCTGTAGGCATCTCAAACTTAGTTATGTCTTAAAACCTGATCTTCTCCATTAAATCTGCTTAGCCTTCCTCATTTTTCCGTGTTTCCAGTGACTAGCCAAAGTCCTTGAAGGCATTCTTAAATCCTCAATTTCTCTCGTACCCAAATCTAGTGTGTCAGTGCATCTTATTGGCATTATCTCCAAAATATATCCAGAACCCAGGCTTCTGCTATACCACTGTGATCCAGTCCTTCCTCATCTTTTGTTTGGATAGTTACAGTAGCTTCCTAACTGGTGTCGTTCTTTCTCCCTTTGGCATTTCCAGAAACTCTTCTCGAAATAACAGCTACTGTGGTCCTATTAACATTAAGTCAAATCCTGTAGCTCCTCTGCTCAGAACTTTTCTGTAGTTTCCCATCTTGCCCAAAGTGAATGGCCAGATCCATAAAAGATCCCAGGGCCTTATATTATAATCTCCCATGCTCACCCACTGCCTCTATTACCCATCTGAGTAGCCTCCTATTACTAACCCATCTCATGCCACTTCAACTACACTGATCTCCTTATTGTTCCACAAACAGACCAGGTATACTCTTGCCTTGTAGACTTTCACTTTCTGTTATCTCTGCTCCAAGTATTTCAACCCCATGTTGCCACATGGCTCAGTCTCTCGTGTCCTTCAGGATTTTGCTCAGTCACCTTATTACAGTGAGGACTTCTCTGACTATCCTTTTTCAAATTGCTGCCTACCTCTACTTCCACATGAACATGCTGGTATCCCTAACGACCTTCCCTGCATAACCATCTAGCAAAGAAGGTATTCTACTTACTGGTTTGCTTTCTCTTTCACACGAGAAGACAAGTTCCATGAGGGCGGGGATTTTTATTTGCTTTGTTAATTGCTGAATCCGGTATCTATGATAGTGCCTGGCACATAGTAAGTAATAAGTACATATTTTTTGAATGATTTAATAAATTGATGATATCTCTAAAATTCTAGGCTTTTAAGTAACTTTTTGTTTATCTTTAAATAGGATATCCGAATTACCTCATAAGGAAATTTATGTTTGGATTTCCAGAAAATTGGAAAGTGTACATTGATAATTTTCTAGAACAATTAAGGTAAAATGTCTTAATTTTTTTTTTTAATTCTATTTGTTTTTGGCAGTTGGCTGGTATAGGGATACAAATTCTTGACCTTGGTATATAAAACACCATGCTCTAACCAACTGAGCTAACCAGCCAGCCCTGTTTTAAGTTTTTAAAAGTCAGCCTCATTGAGGTTAACATTTAACATTTAATAAATGTTAACATTTAATAAAATGCACCCATTTTAGGTATTAAATGTAATGAGCTTTTACAAATGTACAGACTCAAGTAACCAATATATGAAGTGGTTTTAGTTTTTGGTGGGGGTTCGATTGGTTTTTTTTTTTTGAATGCCGAAGCTCTGTTAGTTTCAAAAACAATAACCTTTTACTAAAATTTCTGTCATATTGAGTAAATCTAAAAGGAAAATAAAATTTTTGACATTTTAGGGACTCATCCTTGATCACCTGCCCTTCAAGAGGCATGTAGCTGTCAAATACTAGTCTGAAGTTCTTGGTCCTTTTTTCTCTCACTTATTCTTTCAGTAGTTATTGAGTGTCAGCCACTTAGCAGACACTTCGATTGGCATTGGGAAAACAAAGAAGAATTTGATTAATTCTTGCCATTGAAGAGCTCATAGTGGGTACAGAATTTAAAGTTAATCACAGTACAATGTAATAGCTTATTACGGGTTCTGGCAATTTTTTCTATAAAGGGCCAGATGGTAAGTGTTTTTGTGGGCATGTTTGTTGCCTATATTGCAATTACTGTTTAACACAGCCTTTGTACCAGAAAAGTAGCCCATAGATGGTATGTAAATGAATGCATATTGCTTTGTTTCAGTAAACTTAATTTTCAAAAACAGGCAACTGGTAGGATTTGTCCTTTAGTTTTCTTACAATATCAGCATTAGTAGGAATTATAGGAGCATACAGTAAGAAGCACTTAAGAGGTTATATTTGAGTCCTTTGACTTAAGATGTTATACTTGAGTTCTTTGTGGAGGAGGGTGATAGAAGCCATGAATGATTAAAAATGTAAGATTAAAGGTACTTTTTGCTGGGGGGGCTGGGGAGGTGGAGCTTTACCTGAGGGGGGTTTATTTGTTTATTTGTGGGTTTTGTTTTTTGAATATCAATATGAGAAGAAAATAATATAATTGTTTTTAGGTCTGGTGAAAAGAACAGGGAAAAGGCCAGACAAAAACAGAAAACTGCAAGATGTGTCCCTGACATACGAAAATCAGTGAAGAATGATGCAAGAGAAAACCAAACAGATGTTCCGCAAAGGGCCAACACCACTTATGACCTGGGTTGTGATGACATGGGTATGTTTGGTCTTGGCTGGTATAGTGGTAAATTCTTATATAAGCTCTACGTTGTTTATTATTTATTGTTTATAACGTATATAGTATTGTGTTCTTTGACTAATACTGTCCTACAATTCCTGCTTTTTTACTTCTAAAGGAGAGGTAACTGCAATGCAAACTGTTCATGGTCAGCATTCAGCTTACTTCATTAAATATACTATCACCTTTTAACTAATCAGAATACCAAAGAACGCAGATACATGTGTCAATGAAAGAAGACTGTTCTTTCAATTTCCTTGACCCAAGGTATTTAGGCTGCCGACCCACCCCTAACCTATAGCAAAGAGACATTTTTGTACTAAATTTCATGCCTCCTAATAGACAAAACCAGTTTTCTTTCATGGAGGAAATGGCGTGTTTTCTCAAATGACCATTGCTATGGTAGAACTGTTCTTGGTCAGCTCTTTGCCAACAGTATTTGCCTCACATGCCACCCTCACCCCTGAAAAAAATGTATGAATTTACAACCCTTTCTAAATAATATAAATTAGTAAAAGTTACTCACATGCCTCACTGGCCACCCCTGCCCCTGAAAAAATGTATGAACATTAACTACAACCCTTTCTAAATAGTATAGATGAGTAAAAGTTCCTAAAATCTGTTTGTTGTATACATTTCTGGCAATTTTACCTTGACATGGTTACTAAGAGCTTTATAAAACTTACAAAACCTGGAAAAGATTTTTTTTTTTCCTTTTTGTCTTTTTCCGTGTCCGGCAACGGATCGCAACCCTCAGTGTCGCCCCCGTACCGGACCGGGACCGGCAACGGGATCGCAACCCTCGGTGTTGCTCCCGCGCCTCGCTCAGCCAGTGAGCGGGAACCGGTCTGTATGTGGGATCCAAACCCTCGGTGGGAGCGCCGCCGCGCTTCCCAAGCGGCGCACTACAGCAGTGCGCCACCGGGCCGGCCCAAAACCTGAAAAAGATTTAAAGATGGCTTCTGTCAAAAACATTGCACCATACTGGATATAAATGTCCTGTATTATCACTCCAACCACTCCCCACCCCTCATTGAACTTTCTCTTACCTTGAAATTTTGCATATCCTTTCTAGTACAGAGAAAGGAGTAACTTATATATGTAGATGAGTGCTTGCCTAGAGCTAGCAAAAATTCACTTACCATTGCTTTAGTTCCTTCTCAACCCTTTCTCATTCTATCAAAAGTCATACTATTTCCTTTAAACTAGGCATATTGCTTATTGTCATTGCTAGACCATCCTAAATATTTTGGAGTCCTGGGGCTGCAGCACCTGCTATCGACTTTTTCACTCCTAAATAAAAAAAATACCTGAAAGCATATTTCACTTTCAATCAATCGTTAATCTTCTTTAGTCTTAGGTCTTATCTCAAGCCCCTCCCCCCTTCACTTAGAGCAGCACTTTTTAGGAATTTGAGCTGAATTGTGAATGTTATTGGTAAAGTGTTTCAGAAAACAAGTGGCAAGTGGGGTGGAATACAAATTTAAAAGACTAAAGTTTGATAAACTATTAAAAATGCCAGTCGTGTTCTTAAGAAAATCACTCAAACATTTTTAAAGCACTTTCCATGAACCCTGATCTGTGTGTTAAGTGATAGGAACTTAGAAATGATGCCTCCCCTAAGAAAGCTCAATTTAGGGACAGATATTACTATATTTGGATGTATCATTTTTCTGGTGTGATTCTTTAAATTTTTGTTTTATGAAACTGTTAGACACTGAGTATCCTGATATCACCTAAGTTATTTTGAGTGGTGGTGATTGATACTATTGTTGTTTTTATTATTGTCATTATTATGCTTTCCATGAGAAAACAACTAAAATAAAACTACGTCTAACATTAAACAGCTAAGGCTATATAAAGGCGCCAACTCATGATAATTTAAAATGATATGAAATTAACTTACAACTCTTTCTAAATAATATAAATTAGTAAAAGTTACTCATATGCCTCACTTGCCACCCCCCCCCAAAAAAATGTATAAACATTAACTTACAGCCCTTTCTAAATAATATAGATGAGTAAAAGTTACTAAAATCTGTTCTGCTGTGTGTGTTGTAATGATTTACATAAAATGTAGTTTTGCATATTTAGTGCTCTAGCCTGTATTTAATAGTATTGCTCTTAAAGTACTTTATCTCTGTTATTATACTTACCGGAATATGTTATAAATGACTTATTGTAATATCAGCCTCCTTTACTATACAATAACATTCTCAAGAGCAGGGACCATCCATTGTAAATCTTTAAAATATATAGCTTCTAGAAGAATAACTATTTGTTGAACATATAATCTTGTACAATGTAATTTGGTTTTGGTCAAAATTCTTTTTAGCGTAAATTTAGTTATATATTAGTTATGTATTGGAGTACATAAACTAACTGAAACATCATTCCATGTACATGAAGAATAAGGGAAATAGTTATTAGCTTTCTGTTTATATTGAGTTCATGTGCAGTTAGGATGAACAGGAATTTTTATTTACCAGATCGGTTAATCTTACTGGTCTGTTTTTAGATGTGACAAAAGAGATCCAAAACAGATAGTTATGAATAATGTGGCTGTTCAGTTTTTGTTTTTGTTTTTGTTTTTTTTTTCTGAAAATAAAAGTGATTTGAATAAAACATGGCCCTACTATGTTTTATTCAGGATTACAGAGTAATTCTGTCCAAATAAAATTGCTTTATATGATAATCAAATTATAGCAAATATTTGTGACACTGGATTAGAGAAATTTTTCAAAGTTAATTTTTTAATGTGGAAAGCAGCTTACCTTTTATATAGTTAATTATTGAAATCTCTTTGTACTGAAGAACTGAAGAGTAATAAACACAATGGGTTGCCAAGAGCTACAGAATTAAACATTTTCCATAGCAATTGCCGAAATGAACCACCATTAAAGCTCCCAGATGACCATATAAATAATACTATTCAAAATGGAGGAGGATGTGACTTACCTAATCAGGTAAGGCTTTACTGTATAGTGTTTGTTTGCTGTTCAGAGGGGTGATGATGTGACACCATGAAAAGGTTTAGGACAAAAATCAGAAGATATAAGTTCTGTTTGTAAGGTGTCAGCTTTTAGTTAACTTTGGGACTGTAGGTAAATGTCTTGATTATTTTCCCAGTCTCTCAGTGAAAAAGTGCAGGCAACAATAACAAAGTTTTAGCTTTGAGTCAAGCTTAAAGTAAAGTGTACAAAAACGCACTTGAAAAACCACAAAGTATTAAATCAATAAAGGAAATATTTAGAATAGTGGACGTGGTGCTTCTAAAGCTAAAGCTCTAGCAAGTGAGTTTCTGAATGCCTTCACTAATGAAATCTGTAGAACTGTAAATACCTAGCGGTTTGTGTGCTCAATGAATACAGTGAAAATGCTTTAAGGTCACGTTTAGGTAGTAGTTGAAATAAAAGAAAGTCATTTTTTTATTTTGAAGGGATTAATTGGAAAAAAAGAATATAAAAAGTTTTCTTCAAAGAAGCTCAATTGTGAAAGAAAGAATGAAAAGATAATTAAAAGTCAGAAGCAAGGTAATATATCCGTAATGGTTTTGTAATGATAAGTAGTAAGCTACTATTTGTAATGTTTTTGATATGATAAAAATGATCTTTTAAATGTCCTAATCTAAAATGGTAAACTTTGTTTTATTTTATTTTTGTTTTGTTTTTCTGGAGACTGGCTAGTACAGAGAACCAAACACTTTAACCAACTGAGCTAACTGGCCAGCCCTAAAATGGTAAACTGTTCTAATGGTTTTAAATGTTTGGTTTTATTACTTTTACAGAAGATATTGCATGATAAAAAATAATTTATAACTTTAAATTCCACATATACTTACAGGTTTGCCTCCTTTAATCTGGGCACTAAATAATTTTGTTTAGATCACAAAATTATACTTCATTTTAAATATACCTATATAAAAAAATTAAATATGCTTATAGGAGTATTTAAAGACTGAATCCTTTTACGAATTTAATACCATAATTTAGTTTTGTATAAATGTGGATTTTCAGAGTGATTTAATTGAAATCCTGCATACCAAAATTTAAAGAGCCTTTTCTCTAAACATTAGAAAGTTTAAAATTTCATGTTGAGTTAAATCCATTAGTTTAATAGCATTTTTCTGTTTTATTTCTTATCAGTGAAAAGAAATGAAAGTAAAGAACATAAGTGCTTCAAGAAGTAGAAAGGAAAGCAATACTACTTATACTACCAAGTTCACACAGGTTAGGTTACACTATCCAGAATAGGCTGACATCAGTCTTTCATGTTGTCATTCATCTTGTAAACAGTGGCACATAATACATGTAGGTTGTTGCAGTATTTCACTATGATGTTTGGTATGATGATTTATAATTTATATTTATTTATAATTACAATTGGATAATTTAAAGTTAGTATTTTAGTTAGTTCGGCTTCTGTTTCTTAAGTTTCAAATTAGAGAATTGGGTTTATTTTACTTTGTTTTTCTTAGTGACATGGTAAAATAAAGATTCCCAATTTGTTCTATTTTAGTTATTTCCTCATGGCATTTGGGGAATTCAGCAATGGTGTGTCTCTGTGGCCACCATCAGGGACGAGTAGAGCCATGCAAATGGAGTTCCATGTTCTCCTGGCTCCTCCTCCTCAACTGGCCCAGATTCTATTTCATATATTACATACCTAATAAGGTTTTAGTGACCCTTGTGGTTTTCTTGTGTCTTCTAAATATTTTATGTCCAGAGAATTGATTTCACAAATATTTATTTAGCATCTACTGTATATGTGAAAGGCTCTGTACTAACTCCAGCAAAAAAAAAAAAAAATCAAACATGAAGATAAAGGTTTTACCATTAATGAGTCTTTTCCAATCTAATTGAAATACAAGACAAGTATACAGTTAATATGCAGGACGTATTGTCAAACATGGCATTATTTAAAAATATTTGGAAAATTAAAAGAAGGAGAGCTTCCATTTAATTGAGGGAATCAGGACAAAGTTTGTAGACTAAGTGTTTTAGAGAATAAAATCAAAGCAGTTAGTGATTTGGTTTGTAGATGAGTGAAGGAAACTTTCCAAGTAGAGTGAATGATATTAATGAAAGTTGAGAATCAAGAAAATTTGAGAATCAGCAATTGGTTTAATAGGCACAGAATATAGATAGTTCAGATTTGAGAACAGTGAGAGATTAGAACTATATTGAAGGCCAGGCAGAGGAGCTGATATGTATACCACTACACTGAAAAGTCATTGAGAAGTTTATATAAACAATAGTCTATGTTTACAGTGGAAGGGGCAGTGATCTGAATAGACCTGAGCTTCAGAAAAATTATTAATATGACAGCTGTGTATAATATGGAGGTTGTGGAAAAATAGTATATTTTATTTGTGAAAAAAAATTTTTTTTACTTAAATTTATTTATCACTAACTTGAGATTTTGGTCTTTGGTTTTGTCTTATGAAATTAAAGAGAGAACTGAAGAATCAGATGTACCCATTGATATTCTAACCTCAAGGGAACAGTTTTTCTCAGGTGAAGAAAGAAAATATATGTCTGTCAATCAGAAGGAAGCTTATATTTTACTGACGCCACTTAAATCTAAAAAAGTAATAGAGCAAACATGCATGAAGCATCATCTGTCCTCTGGCACCATTAAAGCAGTAACAGATTTTGCAGTGCGAAAGCGTCAAAGAGAAAGTGAATCAGACTTAAATGAAACTGTAGGTCCCATCAATAAGTCCACAGGGGCTTTAGAAAATACATTTGAGTATAGTGTAGGTCATAGAAGTAAAAACGAGGAAGACTGCAATGAACGTGATTTACTCACTGTCAACCAGAAAATAAAAATACCTAGCTCTAAAAAGGATCAAATGGTCATCTCTGACTTTAAGAAAAATACCAGGTTCTTATCAAAATTGAAGAAAATTGAAAGTCAAGTAACTATGCCATGTTACAAACATCAGTCCTCATCAGATTTGTTAAGTGAAGAGAGTGAAACAGAAAAGGAAATTAGAAGGAAAGCTGGGGTTGTTAAGAAAACCAGAGCAAGAAATACCAAAGACACAGTGGTTCACCTGAGAAAAAGAACAGGAAACATCACAAAGAATATCCCAGTGATTTCAGAACCTGAAACTGAAGGTGAAAATGAATTTCATGTCAAACAAAAGAAAGCTGGATCTTCTGCTAAAGAAATTCTTCAGAAATCTGATGTTAGGAGTGAGTTTCCAATTATTGAGGTGATGGGGTCTGGTAAGACTAACAGGCATCCCTCAGAATGTTTACCTGGCTTAATTCAGGACAAGGAATGGAATGAGAAGGAATTACAGAAACTTTATTGGTAAGTAGTTAGATTTGACTCTGAAATATGTACACAGTGGCCACAAAACAATTGAAGATGTAAAAACAGCAACAGGGACTGATTTAATGACATCTAACCATTAATGTGTTAGATGTCGTCCAAGAAAATGGGGAGAAATTACAACTTGTACAGGGAGTGGAAGGAGAATACAGATAACTTTTAGTGGTAGTTTGTAGCCATCTCTAAAGCATTCTTATGAGGAAGGTAAAAGTGACCTCATTCCTGTTTAATATTTCAACATAGTCAAATGCTGCTCTCTCACTTAGTTTCGCATTTTAAGAAATATTTTAGTTAAATTTACTATTATAAAACATTAAGGCTAAATTCAGACTTATAGATTATTTAATAGTCTTTCCTCCCTTATTTACAGGAAAGAAAATAGAGTCTCAACATTAGGTGATCTGTCCAAGGTTTCATAGTACAGAAATTGAAGTTAAAACTCAGTTAAGAACCTGCTCTTTCACTCATTCGACGTTTATTTATTGGGTGCCTTCTATTTACCAGTCAGTTTGGAATGTTTGAGGATACAGAAATGAACAAAATATACGAAGTTCTTTTTCTCAAGGAGCAATCTAGTAAGGAAGACAGACAATAAAAAGTAAACCAATAGATAAAAATAACTAACAAATTGTGATACATTCTATGAAGGAAACAAACATGAGACTGATATAGAGAACTGTAGGTAGTGTGGTCAGGAAAGCTCTCTCGGATAATGACACTTAAATGGAGATGAAAGGATAGGTGTCAACCGTATAGGAAACTAGAGAAACAGCATTCTAGGAACAGGAAACAACCTAAACAAAGGCCCTGTAAGGGTAGAAAAATTTTGATGTGGGAGGAACTAAAATAAAGCTATTGTTATTAGAACATAATGAGTTGTAGGGTAATGACTTGAGATGAGAGCAGAGAGATGGGCTGTGACCGTATTGTGTACAATCTTCTAGGTCATGTTTAGGATTTTAGATTTTGTTTTGTTTTTTTTTTAGGTGCAGTAAAAAGATATTTTAGGATGGCATGGTAGAGTTTGAGATGATTCCTTTGGGGAAGTAGATAAGGCACTAATTGCAGGGTTATTAGAGTAGTCCATTGTGTTCTACACTGATATGGGGGATGTAAATATGGAGAAAATTGAATTAAATCTAGCAGTGCATAGACAATATCAAGTACAAATTCTATAAATTATGTGACACTTGACCTAAACTTGGGAGATAGTGGTATGGGGAATATTTGAGGAGAGAATAGGTTAGATTGGGAATTGAGTTTCTTTTTAAACATGTTCTATTTGAATTGTATGTTAAGAGGCAGGTGGAAAGCCAGTGTGGAGTTCAGAAAAAGTCCAAGCTGGGCCGGACCGGTGGCACACTGGATAAGTGCGCCGCTTGGGAAGCGCGGTGGCGCTCCCGCCCGAGGATTCGGATCCCACATACAGACTGGCCGCTCACTGGCTGAGCGAGGCGTGGGGGCAGCGCCGAGGGTTGCAATCCCGTTGCCGGTCCCCGGTCCGGTACAGGGGCAACACTGAGGGTCGTGATCCGTTGCCGGACACGGAAAAAGACAAAAGACAAAAAAAAAAAAGAAAGAAAAAGTCCAAGCTAAGATATAGCTACTAAGCCTGAAGATGGCATTTAAATCCAATAGATTTAAATGAGGAGAACACTTAAGGAGAGGATGTAAAGAGAACAAGAGTGTGATCCTGAGCTCCGAGTAAAGTATTAAAGTAGGGGAGGAATGGGCCAGTAAGGGGTGAAGTAAACCAAGAAAAAGTCATATTGCAGAGGCTGATAGTTTTTCAAAAGTGTGAGATTGATTTGTTGTGTCTGTTGCTGCTGATAAATCAGGTGTGGTAAGAATTGGGTTTGGCTGTGAAGACTTGACAAGATGTTTTAGCAGTATTTGGAACCAGATCATAATTGAGAGATGAAAAGTGAATGGGAAGGTAGAGATGACGACTACCTAGGTGAACAACACAAGAACTTTGGCAGTGATGGGGAGTAGAAAAATGCAGAGGTAATAGAAGGGAGTGTGAAGATAAGGGAAGATGTTTGGTTGCTTTACTTGCTTATTTGTTTGTAAGATGTCCAGAGTACAGTGGTCTGCTGATGGAAATGACCTAGTAGAAAGAAAGGAAGATGTGATTGATAAAGGAGAGAAGCACATTCAGTGTTTTGCTGCCTTGTGTATCCTCCAACCTTATAACATTTGGAATTCATTTCAGTTCTATCTTATTTATTTTTTTGGTGGGGGCCGGTACAGGAATCCGGACCTTTTACCTTGCTGTTATCAGTACCACATTCTAACTAAGTGAGCTAACTGGCCAGCCCTTAAATCTACCTTCCTGAAGCATTCTTCCTAAGGCATCTTTGTGACACTGTACTCTTTTTTTTTTTCAGTTTCCCAAATGTTCCTTATTTTCGGGCAGAAAAGATAATCTTTCTTGTTCCTCAGAGTTATTCTTGGCTGCTCTCTTGCCCCTCAGTGATCTTTCGTCCTCCCAAAATTCTAACTTTTTTCTCTTTGTACAGTGACACCCAAATCTGTATCTCTGGACCTGAATTCTTACATTTACGTTTGTATTTTCCTTTGCCTGCCGGACATTGCTATATAAACCTCACCTACAAGTCTGACAATATGTCAAAGACTAAACGTGTGTTCCCTTGCCTGTTCACTTTTCCTGACATTTCTATTTCTGGAATAGAATGCTTTCCATTAACTAGATTTAAACTCTTTTTTTTTTCTTTCTTTTTTTTTTAAGATGACCGGTAAGGGGACCTTAATTCTTGGCTTGGTGTTGTCAGCACCACGCTCAGCCAGGGAGCGAACCAGCCATCCCTATATAGGATCCGAGCCTGTGGCCTTGGTGTTATCAGCACCGCACTCTCCCGAGTGAGCCATGGGCCAGCCCTTAGATTTAAACTCTTTGTTGTTTTTATTTATCTTTTAAAAAATCCAATTAGTTGCCAAAGACCTATTCCATAGGATTAATCTATCTGCAGCCTCTTTTCTTTTTTTTTTTTTTTTTAAAAGATGACCGGTAAGGGAATCTCAACCCTTGGCTTGGAGTTGTCAACACCACGCTCAGCCAGTGAGCAAACCGGCCATCCCTATATGGGATCCGAACCCGTGGCCTTGGTGTTATCAGCACCGCACTCTACCGAGTGAGCCACGGGCCGGCCTACAGCCTCTTTTCTTGACACTATTTTTTAGACCTTTGATGCCTTTTGCCTGAACTATGGAAGTAACCTTGAATTTGTAGTTTGTTCTTTTTGTCTGTGTAATATATTTTATAAATCTCCAGATTAGTCTTATTACATAGTTGTGGTTCTGATAGCTCAGAAACCTTCATTGCATTATTACTAATCTTCAAATTATATAAAGATTTCTTTGTCTTGCATTGAGAGCATACCATATTATGATCTTGATTATTATCCTTTCCAGCTGTATCCCCTATGATTTCCTTATGCTGTAATAAAGCTTCTCAACCTTTACTATATATTCATATCATCTATGGAGATTTAAAAATGCCTTGACTGCAGAGATTTCAGTTCCTCCTAAGGTGGAATGAGTACACTCCATTGTGTTTTTTCTGCTCTGCAACTATAAAACCTGGATAGAATGCTTGGAGCAGCTTTTTGTTGACTTAAGAAACTAATTTGGAGAAGACTGGAATTTTAAGTACCACCAAGCCAGCAGTTTTCCCCGTTTTTCTACTGGTATCCCCTGAGCTAGACTCAAAACTGCCAGAAACCTGGAAATGGGTATCGAGGTACAAGAAAGAGTGCAAAGAAAAGCCATCCAGTTCTGTGTTGAGGAGCAGGAAAGGGGACTTCTAATGCTCAGAAACAGTAGAGGAAATTTCCCAGGTCCCTTTCTTTTCTCTTTTTTTTTTTAACCTAGTCCTTGTGCAAACATGCAGGAGCTACAATTACAGCATCCAGACATATCTAAAACTCAGAGGAGAACCTTCCTCTTCAGTCAGAGGAATGGTTGTCTCAAGAGGATGGGGCATAGTTTTTCCCAGCGGTATTGCTTTTTTCTCTTTCTGTTCTCTGCTCCTTGTTACTGGACATAGATGCAGTTGTATGAAGTGTACAGCAGAGCAGGGTAACTAAAGCCCCGGCTTTCTGGCCAGAGAACCGAAAAGGGAAACCCTAGGGAATGAGAAATCAGAGAGGGAGGAGCTACGGAAGGCAGCTCCATAAAATTGTTTGTGAACTTCTGGGCTCACCCCTGTGTTGTACACATGCAGATTTGTTCCTAAAAGGCATACCAAAGACTTTGAGAACTGAACTAAGCAGTAGACGATACCCAATTTCTAGTCATAGCAGTTTCTAAGCTCATGTCACACTTGCAGGATAGATGCTAATAGCATTTTAAAACTTTGAAAATTGAGCTGACATTGAAACAACAACCATAGTAGACTACTTGGAACTTATAGCTCGGGTTACAGGCAGGTCTTTTACCTGTTAAAATAAAAATATTAACATTCTCCGTAGGATATAAATAAGGCCAGAGTTTTATAATATTCATAATGGCCTTGCAAATAATCTGGAATTGCTCAGCATTTGAAGAACCAGGAAAATTTCAACTCACATGGAAAATAAAATCAAGAAATGCCAGTGCTTAGAAGACACAGATGTTGGAATTACTTAACTCTAAATCAGGTACTGTAAAAATGCTTCAAGAACTAAGAATAGACACTCTTTAAATGAATACAAATTTAGAAAGTCTCAACAAGAAATAGAAGACCTAAAGAAGAACCAAATGGAAAATTTGGAACTGAAAAATAAGGTAACCAAAATAAAAAACTCACTGGTTAATCTCAGTAGCTGAATAGAGATGACAGAGGAGGGAGGCAGTCAATATCAGGAATGAAGGAATAGCTACAGAAACGGTAAATGTAATAGACTGTTCTCCTCTTGAGTTCTTTAAAAGGTTTAATGTTTGAAAATGAATATTACATTGTGTGATAGAGTTTTCAATATATGTAAATGTGGCACATAAAATGACTACAACATAAAGAGGAAGGGTAAAGACGAGTATATGATGGTAAGTTTTTACATTTTCATTTGAAGCAATAAAATATTGATTCTAAGACTGTTGAAAGTTACATATGCTTAATGGCATCCCTAGAGCAACTTCTTAAAAGCTATATAGAGAGATATATTCAAACGTAATAAATTAAAATACTAAAAAAAGAATCAAATAGCTCAAAAAGAGGCAAAAAAGGGACTATAGAGGAATTTAAAAAGGGGGAACAAGCAGAAAACAAGTAACAAAATGGTTGACCTGAATCCAAACAAAATTACATTAAATTTGATGGTCTAAACATACCAATTAAAAGACATTATGAGCATGGATTTAAGAATATAATCCAACTATATGCTGTGTACAAGAAAATCTCAAATATAATGATATAGAAGGGTTAAAAAGATAGAAAAATACCATGCAAACACAAAAGAAAGCTGGAGTGCCTATATTAATATATCTAAGAAGATTTCAGTAGGAGAAAATTACCTGGAATAAAGAAGGACATTACAAAGCGATAGAAGGGTCAATTCACCAGAAATCCGTACATTCATTCCTAAATGTATATGCACCTAACACAAAAGCCTCAAAATACTTAATCAAAGCCTGAGAGAACTGAAAGATTAGTCAAATCCAAGAGCATTGGAGACCTCAAAGCTGTTTTCTCAGTAATTGATAGTACTAGTTTTAGGCAGAAAATAAGCAAGGATGTATATATGGAAGAACTGAACACTGTCACCAGCAGTGTCTAATTGACATTTATAGAACACACAACAATAAGGGAAAAAATACATCATTTCCAAGGATAGGTTGATCATTCATCAATATAGAACATATACCAGGTTGTAAAACAAATTTAAAATAACAAATCATAACAAAGGATGTACTCTGGTGATGATTGAATTAAACTACAAATCAATATAAGAAGATAATCAAAATTTCCAAGTGTTTGAAAATTAACACAAGTATAAATCCATGGATCAAAGAATAAGTCTCAAGGGAAAGTAGAAAATATCTTGAACTGAATAAAAATGAAAATATATCAAAATTTGTGAGATGAGCCTAGGAGTTTATAAACAACTTTATGGGGTAGCTTTGTGGAGCTCCCTTCCCTGATGTCTGCGGTACTTTCTAAGTAAACAAGTTGTGGTACATTCTTCAGTAGACTACTAAGCAATAAAATCGAAGAGCTATTGGTACGTGTAACAACTTGGATGAATCTCAGAGACATTATGCTGAGTGAAAAAAAAGCCAGCTGAAAAGGTTACAGACTGTATGGTTTCATTTATATGACATTATGGGAAAGATAAAACTAAAGAAAGAAAACATCAGGAGTTGCCAGTGGTTATGATGGGGGAAGATAAAACAACAAAGAGTAGCACAAGGCATTTCTTTTTTTCTTTCTTTCTTTTTTTTTTTTTAAAGATGACCGGTAAGGGGATCTTAATTCTTGGCTTGGTGTTGGCAGCACCATGCACAGCCAGTGAGCTAACGGTCTATCCCTATATAGGATCCGAACCTGTGGCCTTGGTGTTAGCAGCACCACACTCTCCCAGTTGACCCACGGGCCGGTCCAGAATTTCTTTGTTTGTAATAGAGCTATTCTGTATCCTAGTTGTGATAGTGGTCATACAAATCTATATGTCAAAATTCATAGACCCATACACCCAAAAGTCAGCTTTACTGTATGTTAATTTTTTAAAATTAATGTAAAAATAATGCCTTATACTGTACACTATCAGAATACTCAGAAATGGCAGGCCTGTGTTTGGGCTACGCTTCTCTAGTTTTTCAAAGCTCTGACCTGCAACCATTATTTTCAAATCTGTGGTACTGTGAATATGAACTACTTGCCATTGCCTAACCGTATGTCATATTTCCTCATCTTCATTTGTTTGCCAATGTTGCCTCATTGTGTCACCTGTTGTATTTTTATCTATCCTTCAAATTTTATCTCATGTCACCTTCCTGAAAGCTTTCCTTGTCATCAGTTATTCCTCCTGCCCACTCAGATATGATGTCTCTTTCTTATGAAAAACATAAAGCAAGTTCAATCCTGACTGTACAGCAAAAATAATCACCTGAGGAACTTTTGAAAAGGGCAAATTACTGACATCTTAGACCTACTGAACTGAAGTTTTCAGGGCTATAGTCTGTGAGTCCATTTGCTTATTTTACTTATGGTTGCTTATTTGGTTACATTTTTGCTGTAAGCTCAAGTGATGAGTTGCAGCCCACTGCTTTGTACTCTTCATGCTTATCGCCTAGTAGGGTAGACAGGTATTAAATAATCACTGTAAGAAGTTTATGAGAATGTATCTCAGGACAATCTGACCTAGTTTAGGCAGATACTTGAACTAAATCTGAAGGATAAGTAAAAATTATTTAAGCCAAAGATTCAAGATAAGTGGATTTTAGATAGCATACAGAAAAGTGAAAAGAAAGAAAATGTATTTAGAAATAATGAAAGAAGGCCGGAATGACTAGAGTACTGAAAATTGAAGGAAAAGCAGTACAAGGTGAGATTAAAGAGAGTCAGGCAGAGAACAGTGTAGGACACATTAAGGATATTGGTTTTTAGGCTAAGAGTAATGCAGCACATTCTAGATAGGACTAGGGTGGCATGTTTAAATTTGCCTTTTTAAGTTATCTGGGATAACCTAGAAGAGATGTGTTAATTACTGGCTAATTTCTTATTAAATGGATTATTATGTACTTTTATTATGAAAAAGTAGTCCTTTTAGTGCTAGACTTGAAAATTAGCTACACACAAATAGGGAAGCTTGAGCCCCAAGCCCTTCCAGTTCTCCACTTTAGAACACCTAAAGAGTGATTATTATGCAAAAGAGATCTTTCATTAACAAATGTTTAACACCCATAAGTATTCTTTTATGCATGCAACTGGTAGCTTTTCGCAAGAACCAGTCTAAGGTAAAGAAACAGAAAAAAAAGCTGATTGTTAAATTTGGGGAAGTTTACAAATCAATTGTTAAACAGTCATTAAAAATTAAATTATATAAATATACAATTATATTAAAAACAAAGGTAATCCTCAAAACTTATCACTTCCTAATTATTTTAATACATTTATTATTATCTATGCCCTTGAAGTTTTTTTGCAGCCTTTATATCTTTGTGGCAGAAACTGTAGATAGTTGTGTGCTATTGCACATATCTTAACAGCTTTACATTCAGTGAGGTTTTGTTGGTAGCTTGAAATCAACTACAATGGGAGTATTTATCATATGGAAATTGGCAAACACTATAAATCAGAGCTTTTTAACCTCAGAGCTGATTAGAAATTTACCAGCATACCACCACATGAAACCTATGTTTATTAATTAGAATCTAAGTTTAAATAGAAATATATTTTGTCAAAGAAACATTATTAAAAATAAAGATGATATAGTTGAAATAACAAACCATTTTTAGCCTGATTGGTGAGTTAAATAGATTTTTTCTGCCCAAACTGTCAGCCTAACCATAATATATAAAATCTTTTTATCAGGGTGGGGGATGGTAATATGTGTGCCAGGTTCTAAACAGTGATTTACAAATGAAGTTTTAGGATATAACTCATATGTTAAATTGGGCACTACCTTATATTTGTAGTTCTTTTCTATTTCATTTTTCATTGCCCTCAATTAAGAAAGCATTTTATCTATAATACCGAGTTCTACAAATTATAATAGAATGAGAGCAAACATAAGAGTTTTTAATACAGAGTTTATAACCTGGAATATGTAAGAACTGAGAGCTTATCTTCCAATGTCCTCAGCACCAGTAAGATTTGAGAAACAACGTACAAAATTTAGTCATGCCAGAGTGCTCCAGAAGACCAAATAATTGATAAGTTGAATTTAGAAAAAATGTTTAAAGTCTATGGATGACTTTTTAGATTTAACAGAATACAATAAAGTATTTAGAAGGCACCTACTAAATACATAAAAATTACATCTATATATCTTAAGCACTAGAGTGAGTTATCAAGTGGTGATCTTTCCAAATAGTTATATAGAATGACTTTGGTGAAATTCCTTCAGCCCAGTAAACCTCATTGATTCAGTGGTATGCTTTCAGGAGGTTATTTTTATTGATTTGAATTTTTTGTTCTTTGACTGGTTTTGGTCTTCCACAGTGCTTTTACATCTCTTCCAAAGCACAAACCTGGTTTCTGGTCAGATATAGCTATGGCTGTAAGTTCTCGATCTGCTGAGGAATGCCAGAGGAAATACATGGAAGATTCCCAAGGAAAAAAATCGCAGAAACATGTCACTAAGAAAAAGCCAGCCAATCCCAAAGACCAGAATGGTAACCATTGCAATAAACAGTGTTTTTCTGGTGCTTAGTGTAGATTTCTAATCACTCACTAGATATATTTTATATTTACCCATGAGTCTTGTTATATGTGTTTTCTTAAAATGTTAAAAGCTAGAAGGAATTTGAAAGATCATATGTTAAGTCTTCCCCACGTAGCTGCTTCCATCAATAGTAGCTTAGTAGCCTTGTGCTTTGAGCTGTAAGAAATCTGCAGTTGGATCCAGAGATCTCAATATCTGAATTATTGTTCTAAGGCCGCTTGGGTGGGGCTCCCTAGTAATTCATGAGAAAACTCAAAATAATTTAGTTTTCGTCATCCCAGTATTACACACTCCTGTTCATGGTTTCTAGTAAAAGGTGTTTTATGCTAGAGAAATCCTATATTAAGCTTCGGGGAGTACCCAGTATTCCTACTGTAATCTAGTCAAGTTTGAGTGTCATGTGGGCTAATCATATTGCACAGATTCCAGTGTAGAAAGAATCATTCATTATACAGGAAACATAACAGAGGCTGAATTTACTTAATATGAGTGAACTATTTAGAGATTGCAAAGGCTGTTAACTTTACAGAGCAGTTACTTTAAATGACCTAATTCTTATCAAAATGTTTTGCTGACTCTTAAGACAGGAGAGGTAATGCTGATAAGAAGCAAACTATTAAGATAACTGCCAGAGTGGGAACTCTTAAAAGGAAGCGACAAATGAGGGATTTTCTGGAACAGTTGCCAAAAGATGATCATGATGATTTTTTCAGTGCAACACCTTTGCAGAAGCAAAGAGTACTGGTAAGAGTTGTTGATACATGAAATCATTGTTGTGTTTTGGGTTTTTTTGTTTGTTTGTTTTTATCTATATTGACATATCTTTCATTTTTATGTATGGTTAGTGTTCATCACTAATATTTAGGGCAAAGATGGATAGCCTACATAGATAATACCAAATTATTATAGGAAGTCATCTACTGTTACATGCTATTCTCACCAATTTCCAGAGTCTGCCCTACAATAGGTTTCAAAGGTAATGTATGTAGAACTGAATAGAAAACCCAGAAATTAGGCCAAACATATACTTACTGTTTAATATACTATGAGACAAACTTTTTAAAAAGATAAGAAAAGATTATTACCTACTGTGTAGTAAATTGTGAGGAGGAATTAAGTGGCATTAGCACAGTATTGACAGATTTGAATGTATAAAGTAATTTTTGTAGTATGAAAATTAACATAACTTCAGTGATTGGTGTAAAATATTCACAACAAATACAGCAAAGCCAATAACTGATAATAAGAAGAACTCATTCAAATGTTACTGAAATAATAAAAGGTATCAAGATCACAGGAAGAAAGTGGACAAGAAAAAATGTAAAAGGCTGAGCAAACACTTGGGGAAATGGCTATTTTATCTAGTAATCAAAGAAAGCAAATTATATGTACACCTTCTAAGTTACAGAATCTTTTTTAAAAAATAAGCTAAAATATTCACTGTTAACAAAAGCAATATTGATATTGATACGGTCATACATTAGTGGGTGCATCAGTTGAGTCATACTTTTTAGAAAACATTATGGCATTATATTACAAAAGTTGTAAAAATTAATTCTGTTCCTGAGAGTTTATCCTAAGGAATTCAAAAGCCCAAAATCTTTGCAAAGATAGTCATTGCATGTTTATCTTTACAGCAAAAACTGGAAACTATATATTCAATAAAGATGTTTTTCATAAATAGTAAAATACAGTACAAATAATATGTGCAAATTTAAGACTTCCTAGAATCTAAATGTAAACATAAAGAATATTAAGATTATTATAATAAGAAATGTGCAGATGTAGAACTTGAAAAGTTGTTAATGAGCTAGACTTAAGGGTAATTTTTCTTTTCTTTTTTTTTTTTTTTTAGGGGTAATTTTTAATCTTCCAAGTTTTTGACATTGTTAAACTATCTTCAGTATAAAGGTTGGGGTTTTTTGTTTTTGTTTTTGTTTGGTGGCTGGCCAGTATGGTTATCCCAGCCTGTGACCCTGGTGTTATAAAGCTGCACTGTAACCAACTGAGCTAACTGGCAGCCTGATCTTCAATTTAAGAAAGCTCAGTGCTTTACAGACTCTACAACATTATCAGGGACCCCTTTTTGCTCACATGGGTTATAGAGGGAGATATTTTAAGGGAGTCATCTGAGGCCCTTACTGTGTTCTCTTAACAACACCATGTTCCTTTAGGGGTTGTCCTCTTTATGTTATCCCCCATCATTTCAGGTTATATATATGTATATTTTGGCCGAAATGCAATAGGATTTAGGCCAAAACACATTAAAAGCATACTTGTTTTTAATAGCAACATTAAAAACAGGAATAAGATAGAAATGAAAAATAATGAATTAGCTCATTTTCTGTGGCATAATTTCACTTTCTCTAAGATTTAAATGTAAAGGTAAATAAGAATCTTAAGGATGGAATTTTCGTTGGAAATATATGCATAAAAGTTTAATAGTGCTTGAGTTCTACTGAGTGCTAAGCATAATAGTAAATGAATTAGTTTTGTTTTGTTCTGTCTATACCAAAAGTTAATAAACTATGACCCAGTGGGCCAAATCCAGACTACTCCCTGTTTTTGTAAACAAAATTTTATTGGAACCCAATCATGTCCATTTGTTTGCATATTGTCTATGTCTGCTTTCATGATACAATGGCAGATTTGAGTAGTTGGGACAGAGACTACATGGACCACAAAGCCTAAAATATTGCCAACCTCTCGTCTATACAGCCTTTAGAAATAGGTGTTATTGTCTCTATATTACACAAGAGAAACTAAGTTTTTTGGAGGCTAAGGCTCTGCCCTCTACCTACTACTACTATAAGGAGGAAAATGACTTATCAATCCACCAAAAACATTTTGTGCTAATGAGAAAGTCCATTTTTATGGATGCATGTTAATATTTGTTTTCCAGTTGCCAGCTTTTCAGGACAGCCAAGATGATGATATTCTACCAAGTATGGACAGAAATCCAACAACTCCGTCATCAGTTATCTTTCCATTGGCAAAAACTCCTCAATGTCAGCATGTCAGTCCTGGTATGCTAGCCTCTATAAATAGGTAAATATTCATGCATCTCATACATTAAGTCTCTGCATCAACATATTGAGGAATACTTTAAACTTTCATGAGTTGGGGAGTAATGGGATGTAATCCAGTGATAGAAAGAGTCATTATATAAAAATTAAGGATGGTCAGGTGGTTTTCTTTAGTTTTTTTTTTTTTTTTTGAGATTAGTGATTGTCTTATAACTATGATGTAAAACCTAGAAGCCGCTAGTGAAAAGATTAATCAAGTCAACCATACAAAAAATTTAAAGAATTATCTGGTACCAACCACCAATCCAAAGACAAATAGTCTGAGAAAAGAACATGTGCGATTTAGCACAGACAAAAGGCTAATTTCCTGAATATATATACAGCACTCTTACAAATTAACAAGAAAAGGGAAAACGTTTTCATGCGTTACTAGTGAAAAGGTAAATTAGGACAATCTCTGTAGCAACAATTTGCCAGTATCTATCAAAATGATAAACGCACATTCCCTTTGACTCAGGAGCCCTGCTTCTAGAATTGTGAATATAAAGCTTATTCATTGTAGCATTGTTTATAATGGTAAAACTCAGATGTCCAACAATAGGGACTAATTAAATGACTTTTGATGCAGTATATGGTAAAATGCCCAAGGTATATTAAGTGAAAAAGCTAGATGTAGTGAATAATGTGTAAATAGAGGCTGTATGTGTGTGTGTGTGTGTACATGTGTCTATATACTTGTATATATATGTACATATAGACATATTTGTTTTTAATAGATTAAATATCTGAAAGAATATATAAGAAACTGAAAATTGGTGATCTTTATGGAGAGGACGTAAGGTAGCTAGGGACGGATGAGAGGGAAACTTTTGAATTTTGAACCATTTAAATATAGGAACTGTTTGAAATATAGATAAAGTAAAATTTTTTTAAAAGTAGGGGTAGCCAAATGTCACAGAGAGAAGATGGAAAATGGTAAGAATGAAGCCTGAAAATAGGCTATTCCATTTGGCAATTAAGAGGCCAATGCCGATCTTAAGAGCAATTTCTGTAGTGTGAGAAGCAGAGCCAGATGATAATGGCAGAGAAAAAACTATTTGGTATTCTTACGAAGCTAGGTGAAATTTTAATTTGCATTTTTAGGAAAAAAAACATGATTTTTCCCTAGCAATCCACAGATTACTTATTAATGTGTCTTAGTATTTAGTGTAGGTGAAAGTATACTGAGAATGTAATTTTGGACAAAATCTTTAGTAAATTCTTTGGCCAAATCATCAAAAGCCTTAAAGTATTCATCCCTTTGGTCCTTGAATTTTTTTAGTCAGTTCTTTTTTATTTATTTTTTTGGCAGCTGGCCTGTAAAGGGGTCTGAACCCTTGACCTTGGTGTCATCAACACCAGAGTTTAACCAACTGAGCCAACCAGCTATCTGTTAGTCAGTTCTAAGGAAATGAGAAATTTAGGCAAGTTATATATTTGTATTTGTGTAAACAGAGTTGTTCATCACAGAACATGATATAGGTTGAATATCCCTTATCTCGAGTTCGTGGAACCAGAAGTGTTTTGGGGTTTTGGATTTTTTTGGATTTTGGAATATTAGCAGAATATATGCCGGTTGAGCATCCCTAATCCAAAAACCTAAAATCCAGAATGCTCCAATGAGTATTTCCTTTGAGCGTCATGTCAGTGCTCAAAAAGTATTGGATTCTTGGAGCATTTCAGATTTCAGATTTTCAGATTAATGATACTCACAACCTGTACTGAAAATTTGAAAATGACCTAAAAGTCCCAAAGTAAGAAAACAGTTATGTAATTAAGGTTTGTCCATATAATAGAATAATAAGCAACAATTAAAAATCATGTCTTCGTGAATTTTTAATAACTCAGAATAACAATCAGTGGATAGTAGTTTTTAAAGCTAAGAAAACTACATAATCTCAATTTACATAACATGTATTCATAAGAGAAAGGAAATTTTTTTTTTTCCTTTTTGTCTTTTTTACTGACCAGTAACGGGATTGCAACCCACGGTGTCACGCCCGTACCGGGGACCGGCAATGGGATCGCAACCCTCGGTGTTGCGTCCGCACCGCGCTCAGCCAGTGAGCGGGAACCGGTCTCCACATGGGATCCAAACCCTCGGCGGGAGCACCGCCGCACTCCCAAGCGGCGCACTCTCCAGTGCGCCACCGGGCCGGCCCGAAAGGAAATTTTTTGACCAAACATCACCAGCCATAACTCTAGGCTGTAGAATGACATTGGTGTGGGTTGTGGGTTTTTGTGGGGTTTTTTCGGGGGGTATGGGGGGTTCTGTCAGTTTATATCACTTTTACAATTGAGGAAATAATGGGCATGTTTTTTTTTCCTATAGAGCATATGAGGGATTTATTTATATGATCTATATTTCCTAAAACTTTATTAATAATTACTTTAAAAAAATGAGTTCTCTAGGCCTCTTCACTACCTCTTGATATCACCACTTCTAATAGTTGCCTTACGTTTTATAAACGTCTTAAATAATGAAACAGTTTTATCGCTTCAGAAGTGAAAAACTCTTTATTCTCTTTGTTGCTCTCTGACAACAGACTTCAGAGGTGCTCGTCTTCAACAGCTGGCTATGACTGTTCATTTGTTAAGCAACTGGCTAGGCTTATTTACTTGTGAGAATATACAGGAATTAACAAAACAAAGCATTTTTCTTATACTCTTACTCAGCAACAATTAACACAGAAGACTTCTGTGACCAAATGCGGCGGCGGGGGAGTGATCGATTTCCCCACACACCAACTAAGCCAGCAGATACTCCTGGGTGTCCTCTAATTCAATTTGATTTTGACACTGTCTACCTGGAGTTTCAGATCACACAGGTTGAGGACTCAGATTCCCAAGACTGTTCCCACTTCAGACACTAGTTGCAAGTCCAGGCATCTGGAACTTCTAACTGTCTTCAAGTTGGCGTTCCCACAGTCCTCGCTTTGGGTTTAATTTGATAGAGCAGCACACAGAACTCAGGGAAACACATTTACCAGTTTGTTACAAAGGATACAGATGAAGAGATGCACAGGGCAAGGTGTGGGGAAAGGGACACAGAGCTTCCATGCCCTCGCCGGGCACACCACCCTCCAGGAACGTTCATGTGCTCAGGTATGTGGAAGCTCTCAGAACCCAGTACTTCTGGGTTTTTATGGAGGAGCCTTTGTTGCATAGGCATGGTTGACTAAATTGTTGGCCATTAGTGACCAACTTAACCTTTGGTCCCACTCCTCTCCCTAGAGGTTGGGGGGGCGGGCTGGTTGAAAGTCCTAACTCTTTAATCACAAAGTTGGTTCCCTTGGGAACCAGCCCCTATCCTGAAACTACTAAGTCTGCCAACCTTCAGCCAACTCATTAGCATATAAAAAAAATACTCTCATCACTTTGGAGAGTCTAAGGATTTTTGGAGTTATATGCCAGGAGATGGGCTAGAGGCATAGCAGATATACACCTCACAACATCACAACTTGCTATTCAGCAGTGTTTATGATTCAGATAAATATCTTAACACAATCATACATTTACAGATTTCTGCATGTTATGCCTTTAAAATTGCTCCCAAATAGTCATAAAGGAAAAGAGGATAATAGATCACATAGCATCTTGGAGCCACTTGGGAATTGGTGTTCAGCTAGTGTTTACTGTTATAAGTGGAACTAGGAATTGTAGGGATCGGGAATTGAAAACAACCATTCTGTTTGGCTTTTTATTTGTAAATTATGAGTCAAACCTATATGCTAATAATGGGGTGGGAGGAGAGAGAAGGTAAAAGTAATGAAAAACAAAGACTTTCATAGTTGGTATGGGGGAATACAAGAAAGATATAATTATGTAGAAATAAATGGCTTGCTGAGCTCAATTAAAAACCTAGCACTGTCAGAAAACTTGAGGGTTTTCAATCACCAGGCATATGCTTAGAATAAAACAACTGCGAGATTAAATCTGGATAGGTAAGGAAGTGTATAGGAAAAAGAGGAAAATGGTGTAACAAAAAAGGAGTCCAAGGACAAGAAGTCTCAGAGTTTTGGAAAATGTGTTGCCAAGAAATGGGCTTGCTGCCTGATGTAATCAGAAAGCCAAAGACTGTGATGCTGGCTTTTTTTGAAGAGAAAAATCTTTATTATTATGTGACCTGTCAGGCAAGGAGGTGCAAGCTAGCTCAAATCTGTCTCTGCTATCAAAAGGCATGACTTGGTTTTATAAGAAACTCAAAGTATAGAAAGGTATAGGTAAAATTACAAAAAAATGCAAGTTGGGAGGAGCTGATGGATAGGAAATAAGCACATTCCAGTCTCTCTCATTTTGCTGCTTGTTTTGCAAAACGTGGTGACGGACCACTTGCTTTCTAATTGTGCCCGGCATTCTGGCTCCAGGTGCCATCTAAAGGTCAATAGGGTCTCTGCATATGTCTGTCTCACTTCAAGGATTCTGAAGTTTCTGTAAGACAACTTAGACCATGGTGATTAAAGATCATCAGCTCTTTACAGGAAACTTGAAAGGCATTTTTTTTTTCTCATCTTAGAAAGGATTTCAGGCAAAGTATAATTACCTAGAATATTGTTATGCAGTGTTTCCTTTAAAATGTTTGATTGAAGGGCCGGCCCGGTGGCGCACTGCTACAGTGCGCCGCTTGGGAGCGCGGTGGCGCTCCTGCCGAGGGTTCGGATCCCACATACAGACCGGTTCCCGCTCACTGGCTGAGCGAGGTGCGGGCGCAACACCGAGGGTTGCGATCCCGTTGCCGGTCCCAGTCCGGTACCAGCGCGACACTGAGGGTTGCGGTCTGTTGCCGGACACGAAAAAAAAAAAAAAGACAAAAAAAATGTTTGATTGAAGCATTTTGTTCATCTTCATAGGCACACCATTGTCTTCTTTAAAATAGGAAAGAAAATGTACTTTTTAAAGACTGAAATAAATTTTAGTTTTGTCAATTGCTGTTCAACTGATGGATAAAAATATGACAGTTAATGAAGACTTGAAATTATTTTGTATTCAAACAGGAATGATTGTGATAAATATGTTTTTCGTATGCAAAAAAATCACAAAAGTAATGGTGGCATTGTCTGGGGCAAAATCAAGAAAAACACAGTAAGTATTTTTATTCTTTATCCAACACTAATCTATAGAATAACTGTAATACAAGGGTACTTCAAAAAGTTCGTGGAAATATTTGTATTATCTTTTAATTCTATTTTTCCACAAATTGAAGTACTTTCATATATGATAAATTATAATAACAGTTCCTGTCCTCGAGGTCCTTAACAACCTAATGCAAGTAAATTACAATATGAGGCCGTGAATGAGGTAGGTATATAAGTACTGTAGGATTACAGTTGGCAGTTCATAGACTAAAGCATTTGAGTAAGGTGAGGCTGGGTAAAAATTTTCATTTGGGAAGTGAAGTAGCGGGGGAAAAATACAGGGAGGGACATTTCAGGCAAGACCTAAAAGCATAATGCCTGTTCAGTGACTGAGGAGTAATTCAGACTAATTGAGTCATAATTTTCATGGAATAAGATATTTCATCAAATCCCATGCAGCTTTAAAATATTTTCAAATGTTTTTCAGATTCAGGTACTTAATTTTTTTGTTTTCACATTCCAACATTTAAAATCCAGTTACAGAAAAAATTTTAACTTAAAGTTTTTTTTTTTTTTTTTTTTTTTTTTTTTTTTTTTTTTTTTTTTTTT